ACACACACACACACACACACAGAGGCAGAGAATCCCAAACACACAACCCAGATTGTGTTGACAGAGCTTGTGAACATTGAACACGCTGTGTGTAACAGACAGTAAAGACTACGCTACCTCACTCCTGAAATAATGATCTAGCATTAAATTTGAATTTAGGATCAGACACAACTTTCATAATCACCTGCCTCAGTCTGGTTCAGTTTTTATACAGAAGGTAATTCACACCAAGACATTTTAATCAGAGGACACGCCTGAGACTTTCTGCCATTTAAATCCACTGTAGAAAAAAAAAAAGACATTACACAACAGTGACCTTGTATTTTTGCTCTATTTTGATTTGCACCGCTCTTATCCTGTCCACGTGTGGCTTATGACTGCATACTACGTGGTACTGTGTACTCTGTTTTGAGTACTCTGTTTTGAGTACTTAATTTGTTGCATACTTACAGCGTACATTTCGCAGACTTGACAATGAAGTTGACTTATTACCTTGAAGGGCCTTGAAGCCCTGTAGAGGGACTCGAGAGGAGCCAGTGACGAACTGCAGCAGCCGAGCTCGGCGCTCCTCGTCGAACGACTCCACAGCTTTCCAGAACCACTTCACGATGTTAGTGTCCGGAGTGCAGTGCTTGAGCCGCGTGTTGGACTTCCAGTCGTTGATGTCGATCTTACCCAGGCCACATACAATCAGCTACAGACGGAGAAATCGTTTTTTTTCAATACGTTGAATTAAATGTATTCGCAGGAAAATGAAGAATTATAACATGGAGACATTTAAATACCTCAAGCTCCTTCTCGTCAAAAGCCTTGAGCAGGTGTTGCGGGATGACCTCATTGAAGCCCTTCTGCAGAGCCAGGAACTGGGCCTCGATGCCTCGCAGGAAACGCCAGTTGACATAGAGCCGCACGTACTCCTTCTTGGTGTCCTGGGTGACGGGGATACTCTTACCGTTGGGCTTGAGCTCATGCTGGATGATCTCGCCATAGGCGTTGTGTTCTACGCAGAAGGTGTGGTCCAGCACACCTGTGATGTCATTGTCCCTGAGGCAAGAGGAAACAATTGGAATCAAGATGCAACAATTGAATTTTGTACAAATGCTATCGATAAAAAAACAAACAAACAGACAAACAAACGTGTTGCTTTTCATTCTGATAATATTCACGTACTCATGGTCTGACAACAAATGTTCAAGGACCACAAGTGTAAGAAATGTTCAGGAACCCTGGGGGGCGCTGTCGTGATAGTATGGGAGAGATTTCATAAAAGACACTGGATGAATGAATACTGAACATAATGGTTCAATTCTTGGTTCAGAAAAATGTATTTACACAGAAACTGTCGAGCTAACGCTGTTATTGAGTTCTGTCAACGTGAGTCTTGTACGTACAGAATCCACACGAGGCTGTTGTGCAGGTCGGGGTCAACAGACTCCATGTCATCCAGGGTGATAGGTTTACCCAGCAGCTGCTTGTAGAAGGGCAGAGTGAAGCCTCCGTCTATGTAGTGGCCATGGAACACGGCCATTCCCATGATACGGCCCACGAAGTGAAAGTACGACAAATGTTCCTGCAAAGAGACAAAACATGTTTAATTTCCAAACAAACTTAACACAAGTGATCAAAGCTTGTTCAGGACTGAAGTCCAGTTTCCCTTCAGACTTTATCTGACACACACACACACACAAAACCTCTCAGATCACAATTTTAGAACCGCGTCAGATAGTTTTTCTGTCGTCCGTGACGACCGTGACTCACAGGGTTGACAGCGGAGTCTGGGTTTATCTGCAGCGTGTAGATGTCATCGCGGGAGTACTGGAACAGGCCGTAGTACGGGTTCAGCATCTCGTGTGACAGCAGATAGAGCCACTCCCTGTCCAGCGGACACAGGGAGGAGACGGCAGGGGAGAAACAAAAACAACCGAGACAAACCAATTAGATCTTTTGTGTTGTAATTCTGAGTTCAGAACTTACTGATGGAGAATGTGAAACCACACAAACAGTGAGTGAGGTGTGTGGTTTCATGTTCTTCCACTAGGGGGCAGACCTCTGTGTGTAACGTGATTTACAAAAAAACTAATTTGATGTGTCCCAGGGAGGAAGCTCCTCTCTTACCTGGCCACTCCTCCATAGTCGAGCCCTTCTTCTCCTCTAAACTTCACCATTAGCCTCTTCCACAAGTCCTTTGGCCGCATCTTCATCACCTGTCGATACGATTCCTGCAGCACACACACACAAACGCTTTGTTAAAGACAGTAACGGTCAGGCAGCTGTAGACCTCACTGCTATCTTTCAAACATGCACTGAACTCCGGATAATCTCCTGAAACGATCAGGCGGGGCTGTGTGAGAGAACGCACATTTCTAAGTCAGTTGCTTCGGACATTCTCAAAACCTTCTCCTGCCCCTAGTGAAGATAATAATGTCCAAACGAGCCAGTGTGAGAAAACAGTAGGAGATTATGTGACGGATAAGGTGCAGTGATGAGGTTTCTGACATGTGATGGACACAAAACTGTAAAAAAACTAAAAGAAGACAAATATCTCAGGGGAGCCGAACTTGGGAAGACGGCAAGATTTGAGAAATATTGGAGATAAGGGCTGATATGTCGATGTAGTGTAAACTCTGCAGGGGAATTTATCCATCATGTCCTGCCTCCTGCATGTCTCTGTTGTTGTCTGACCTGGACAATCTCTTTCTGCGTAGCTCGTATGTGAAAGGAAAACTCTGGAGAACATCTGCAAACCTAGTTCAAGTCTGAAAACGACTTATGATAAAGAAGCAGTACACGTGAATACATCCATCAGACACTAGACCTTATTCCGAAACGAAAATTCACGTGAAACCAGTTCCAGTGACGAACGCACCCTTCACACTTCTGTCATTCAGACGCCATGCCCTGCATGATGCCACCTGGTAAACATGTTAAACTGTTTGACCAACGGGTGACACTATTCTAAATGTGGAGAAGTTCAGAGCAACAAAAAGAGAAAGCAGCTGGGAGTGTCCAACACAAAGACAAGACGGAGGCAGTGTGGCGTTACAGCAGTCATGTTAAATTGGTTCTCTGCGGTGAGGCTGAGAACGCTCCGCCTCAGTCGGTGTTCATCCCATGTGCAGACGGCTCACAGCGTCAGGGGGAGGGTTCATTTAAAGTGGATTAGGGGCAGTTATAATAAACACAGGCATTAGACTATAATAACACAGCCTCTCCAGCAGCAAGGTTCCACTGTGCCCTCTGGATTCAGCAGAGAACTGAGAGGTGCTGTGGGAGAACGTCTTATCTACACCGGAAAGTACACAAAGACGGCTCTGACAGCTCCACCAGCCAACACTGGCCTGTGCAGTCATAGTCTAATGCTTCAGCTGGTCTGGAGAAGCTATGCAGTTATGTCTCGCTCAACCCCAAGACGTCCTCTGCCCCCCCACCCCCCGCCCCTCTCTCTCTCTCTCTCTCACATTGAGATCAGCCAAAAAAAATGTCTTCGTTCAGATTAACTGACGCGGCTGTTCCAGCACATTCCAGTACATATTTTATGAGGGTCATGCAGTCTGTTGCAGGTGGTGTTGTTCTGATGAAGGCCTAGCACCTCCTAGATGCAGGAGGAAAAAAAAAAAAACCCACCACACACCCCCGATGAGAAAATGTGCTTGAGAAATCCACTTCTCAAACAAGACGTCTGCTTTAGATTTGACTACTTTCACACATCATAGATAACTGTGTGTGTGTGTGTGTGTGTGTGTGTGTGTGTGTGTGTGTGTGAGAGAGAGAAATCATTCTCACAGCTAAATGCAACAGACGATGACCTTAATGGGGAGAGACGTGAAGAAAAACCTTCAGAGAATGTTTAACATAACTTAGGTGAGTCTATACATAACTGAAACACAGAGTGGATAATGTTTCTCACGTTGCCAAGTTCAACGGAGCAAACGTTACACGACTGTCGTGTTTTTCCAGCAGTTTGTTACGGTTTTTAATTCCTTTCATGCACCCTCTGACTGTGACACTCGAATTTTATCTCTGGCCTAAATTATCTACACATTTCTGAGCATCTTTAATAACTGGAACCCCTTGTGAGCTTCAGATGATACGATGACATGACTGAGCACGACCGGGCGTGTTTTTTTTTCTTTAATCCTCACCTCAAAGATCTCCTCACGGGACACCTCGATGCGGCAGTGGCCCGCCTGAGGCTGCTGTTGGGACAGTTCCTGACGGAGGATCTTGAGCTTCTGAACAAGGTCTCTCTTGTACTTAGGCACCGTGAGGCACTCTGCCTCCTCTGGAAGTTGAGCGGGGGACACCAGAGCCTGCTGGGCCTGATCCTTCAACTGGTTCTGACGACTGGAGGGGCAGAGGACAGGGAGGGGAGAGAGGAGGGACAACATGGTTATGTCTTGGATGTATCCATACAAAATGCAAACATGGTCTCTGTAAACACGCGTTTGTACAAAACTGACGAGAGGAATGCCAAGAAACTCAAAATACAGCTTTCTGAGAGCGAGACGTTTTTTTCTCTGTCCTTTGCTGACTGCACAGAACGAGGAGGAAAGACACTGAGGTCATCTGGGAAGCACATCAAGTTAAACAGCTGCCTCGGCCCCTCGCAGACACAGACATAGGTGGAGCTGGGATTACTGGAGGTAAGACATCTCATTCGCCCTCACCCACGTACCACCCCCTCTCTCACACACCTCCCCCCCCCCCCCCCCCCCCCCCCCCCCTGGCAGAGAGATGACTGAACTAAAATAAGTTTTTGTGTAACAGGGGAGAAGCAGAATGTGACAGAGGGAAAGAAAGTTCATAATAAGGGGAAAAACTTTGTCTAAAGAGCCAGAGAGAGAGAATATCGCACTGTGATAACATGTACTGATCTAGAAAGCCAAGTGAAAACTGACATGATTTATTAGCTGTAACTATATAGAGATGATTATGTTGTTTAAATGTATAATTTTCAAGCATGAGAAGTTGTTGGAGACAGACGACCAGACAGGAGAAATATATCAAGTGAAAGCTGGTTGAGGAAATGGCCGTAGAGAGACTTAAATTATTTGTAATAAAATTATCCACCTTTTATGAACCAGTATCTTTTTGAATTAGAAGCTAAACAATTTTGGAGCCCCTTGGCCATCCTCGACGATAAATTAGTATAAATATCTCAGGGCTTCCTGTGTAGACAGCGGATATCCGTGCCGAGACTCTCGTCTCGCGTTCGCCACAAACACAAAGACGGATTACAATTTACAACGCGTTGCTAGTTGGACTGTAAACACAGTAATTGGTTTCTTTTATCACACAAGTCGAACGTCTCTCCACACAAAACGTAAGCAAACAGTTACTTGTGGTTACTTCAGGAAGGTGATCGGGTCCAGAAGACATTTTGGCTAATCGTTATCTGCATGTGAATGCCGAGAAATTAAAAAACCAGACAGCCGATTGGTCAAACTAGAAATGGAAACCATCTGCTCAAGCTAAATAGTTCGGCAAAGTAACTTTTGATCAATTATTTCAAACACGGAAACAAAGGCGTGATTAGCCACCGTATCAATAGAGCGGATGTGAACATCATCTGTGGGTCAGGATGACAGAGTCTCATCTGTGGCGCGGGCCACTGGATGGCGAATACAACTTTTGAACTGTGTTCTGTGTTTAGGACGGCGGCCTCTGAGGGTGGCACAGTGGGGAGGGGGTGCACACACACACACACACACACACACACACAGAAGAGCCTTTATAGGACCAGCACTAAAGGATTATTTGCACAATGGCCTTTTGCACTTCAGTGGGGGGCAGCCGGCACATTCGGCTCTCAGCAGGGTCATAAACACCAGACTCTCGGGCCGAGCACAGAGGGTGGTGGGGGCACACACATGTCAGTCTGTGTTCATGCAGTATAACTACATAGAGAAGGATGCAACACTGGAGGTGATGAAGGTTGAAATACACATTTTTCACACGGACTTTCATCAAACCAGCAGAGCAAACAGACTCAGGAGGACTTGTAACCGTCAGTCAGATCCATTCACGTCAGAACACAGTTGTCAGACATTCATATAGCTCCAGACGCCTGCACTTAAGTATCCGCCCAACAGCTTGCACTTTCCTCCACCACAATGACAACGTCTCCTTAACAAGTGACTGAAACGACCAAACTGGATTCTGCTGGGCAGACACCAGAAACCCAACTCAATCACTTCCTGCGATCCCAGAAAGCCACAGGGCCCCATAGGACACTCGAGTCCTCCTCTCGAATCCCTTTATTTCCTGCAGACTAGACTCAGAGGGAGAGAGGGGAGGAAGGAAGGGCACTCTCCCGACAGCACCCAAACACTGTAGACAGCTCAGAGGGAGGCAGAGAGGGAGGGAGGGAGGGAGGGAGGGAGGAGGCATGTAGCATCTCCTCCTGCACTTTCACCCATAAATCAAACATTTCCTCTCAGTCTCTGTGTCTCCTTCTCTCTCGTGGCTGCAGGTAAACATGATCCACAGTTCTCTCTTCTCCTTACAACTGATGAGCACGGCTCTGGTGCATGTTACCCAAAGAGTTTTTCTCTGTGCGAGAAATTACAAACATCATTGAAATGACAGTTGTTGCTCACGCAACTTTAAAGAGCATCATTTATACACATATAAAAAATGTTAAAATATATATATATGCATGTCTGGGTATTAACATTTTTGTGGAATGACGGCACATGAGGGATGAACTTTTTTAAAAATCCCTGACTTGATAAAAGGCAGATGTCTTGATGGAAATCCATGACGACTGATATCTTTTCCAGAGTTTTGTCACGAGCGAGAAAGTCGCTCAAACGTCTGCTCTATTCGCAGCAACTTCAGTTAGAACAGTAACTGAACCAAAGAGGCAGTAGATCATCTATTACAGTTGTCATGTATTGAGAATGGATTGAAGAAGGCTCGGGTTAAACCTTAGACGCAATTTGTAAAGAAGCTATGAAGAAGGTAAAAAAAACACAGCATTTATTTATGTAGAATATTCTTTATCTAACTTTTTACTGAATAATAAAGTCGCAATAATTTATTTTGGCACAAAAAATACACATTTCCTGGTTTTGATGTGAAGTAATTACCTTACTGGTTATTATCCTCTCAGAATAAATATACAATAGAAATTTCACGCAGCAGATTTTCACACATCTGGGCATAATCATGCACATGACAAAATTCCTACATCAACAACAAATGTGTGGTGCCAGGCTGCATTTTTTATACGGTTTTTCAGAGAGAAAAAAAAAAAAAGCAAAAAGGAATACAAAATCCCAAACACGTTCTTTGATCCATCAGAACAGGAAAAAAAAAAGAAACCTGATCTCTCGGTCGATGCATTCCGTCTCTCTCTGCACGGAGGAGGAATGAGGTCAGGCAGAGGAGGCCCACCAAGGCACCCATACACTGCTCCACCTTTGTGGAGCAAAGGCCTTTGGGTAATTCTACGGCTATCGCAGCATAGTATGTGTTTGAACAGCTGCACAGGGGAAGAAATTCCCAACACGTGCATCCATGCACACAGGCATGTACCAAGAGCCGACGCACAAAGCAACGCACACAAACCTACACAGATGGACACACACACACACACAGTTCATTCATTCATTGACTTGGGCATCAAATTTATGCTCCGTCTCATGGACGTAAGACGCTCCTCAGCTACAGACACAGCAGCCTTGGTTTCCACTCTGCTATCTGATGTCTGGCCAAAGCCAGCTTTGTGACGGATTGTGTGCTAAAACGCCTTTATGATCAAAACCTCTGCGGGGCTGAGGAATTTGAATTTTTGTGTGGAAAGACAGACTGTGGGGGAGTGTGCTGTTTATGTATTCCTGTGTGTGCGAGTGCTGAACCTCTACAGGTGGTGAACACACCTTGGCACAGGATCCCGGTGTAAAACACTGACTGAGGGGGAGGTAACGTGAGCAAGTCTGTGAATGTCTGAGTGTGTGTGTGTGTGTACTTGTGTGTTCCTGTCTGTGTGAAGCAGGGATACTGGCACGAAGCCCGAGTCTTACCTGACATTCTGACTTTCGATGCCTCCTCGAGAACCATTAGGGCTTGGACTACAAGACACAAAACAAAGACAGAAAATAAATCTCTCTGTTTTTACATCCGGACTAAATTATTTCCCTGAGGTTGTTGTACAACTCACTTTAGGACTAGGTGCAGGTTGGCAGAGAGGCGTGGGTCTGTGAACTGTGTGGTTCTGTTATTGTGGTCGACAAAGTAAACTCTCCCGGTGGCAGTGTTGCGGATCTCCCATCCCGGAGGTAAAGGACCCAGTTCCTCACAGTTCACATTGCTCAGATCTCTGAGGTACAAAAGAGGAGATCACGACGATTAAAGACAACCGAAGAACAATAGAGGCAACAAATGGAAAAGAGACGCACACATGAAATAAGATAGAAAACATACCAAAGCACTGACTAACCGGACTCAGACGGACTTGCAGGAGTCCGAGATGTCTGAGAAATCACTTTTATTCTATTTTTCTTCTTCCTCCCATCTAAATTATTTACTGCTGCCCTGCAAACCCTTTCAGCTGGACTCCATGGAGACATTACAGCAGGCTCACTATGCTGGCGCTGACTTTTCTGTTTCACATGGTTAAAGCCAAAGGGACCAGAGCCTCACGAGGGATCAGAGCTTGGCAGCTGAGCCATCTACTAATGTTGGAGCTGTCTGAGGAGCACTCAGTGAGGTGTGGCGTGACCAATAGCCTCCTATCAAAAGCCATAAAAACATAATCTATCACTCACATGCTGATAGAATGCAAGAGAGCGGTGGCCAGGTATCATTATAACAGACATGTTTTATTGATAGCGTCTGGAGTGTACCGAGTCTCGTTTCTGCAGAATTGCCCAACAGCCTCTGGTATGGCTGACTGAGGCCTGTGTGCTGCTGGCCATGTGTCCTGAAGTAATGCCTTTCAACGCTCGTGCCAGACGACTGAATCTCTCTCAGAGGCCCATGACATGGGTCTTCTCACAGCATGTCAGACTCATAATCAGCTGCAGGTTTACGACAAAGCACACAGCAACCGGGGCTAAGAGACTGCCACGAGACAAGCTACGGGTAATGCGAGTCAGTCAGAGTTATGTCAGTGTCAATACGCCAGATGTCACACTAATTCCTTATTCATGAATTTGAGATATTTTACAGTATTTATTGTGGATAGTATAAAAGAAAACGTGTTTAGTTGTCGGTATCTGACAACGTCGTGCTCTGTGGCAGACATACCTGGGTACTCGGGGGTCGTGCCACGTGCTGACACCTGTCTGAGTGTGGAGGAAGTACACTTGGCCTTGCTGCGTGGTCCTTTGCTCTGTGACACACAAACATTTGGTTAATCAACGGAAAACTTGGGGATCCTTAGTATTAACACATTTACAAAAGGAAGAAACTACAACAGCAACAACTTGAGCATCGAATGTTGTGTCAAATGTCAAACATATATGGAAAATGAAACCGAGCTTAATTCATGTGCCACATGTAGACGGAGCGTGCTAATAATCTGTCTGCGTAAGAGAGAGATCACACAGACGGAGATAAAAAGGGCTGCCTGAGTCAGTGGAGATCCCAAACGGCAGCCAGGAAGAGGCAGGGAGCGTGAGGGGAGGAGGGGAGGTGAGAGACAGGGTGAAGAACATTGGAGAGGAAAGACGAGGGGAGAGATGGGGGTGTCTGACTTTTGAGTTGGTGAGCTCATTCATCACAGCCTGACAGAGATATTTCCATCGAGCTGCCTGCCAGCAAGCTCTTCTCTGGCATTTCTTTGGACCTACTACCCCGCTTTAACATGCATGTACACATAACCTTCCAAACCCGCGCGATGAGTGCGCGCCATACGTTCAGCTCACAGAGTGACATATCTTGGCTTGTGTGAGCTCACATGAGGAGACCCTGGAGCTGCTGACAGGTTTTATAGGAACTGCCCAAGCAATAAGGAAGCAAGACAGAGAAAGAGAGGGCGAGAGATATAAAGAGACAAGCACTGTGAGGCTCGGAGCAGCCTAATCTGCGGGACCGAGGGCAAAGCTGTGATATGCTTCCACGGATCCGACTCCCAAATCCTCCACAGCATTTTACTGTGAGGATAAACAAAGCTCCCTGCGGATCTGTGGAGATTGCAGAGTGTGTGTGAGTGTTTGCTTTTACATGAATGAGTCCGATTGTCTGTGTGCAGAACTGAGAACAGAGGAGGGAGTGAACGGCTGCCGCCAGCCTTTAACTGCTAGATCAATTCAATTAGATCGTCTAAAATGGAGCCAGTATTTCAGGCTCCTTGTGCGGAGCTGCAGCGTCATCACAGCAGCTGGACTGGATGAGGACACAGACTAGCCGGGTTACTGAGCCCTGCGTTGAGCAAGTGCGAGGGCGGAGATGAAAAAATTAACACAACAGCATTAGAATGATGCATTACAATTCCTCCCACAGTCCAAAGACATGCAGATTGGGGACGAGGTTGATCGGAGAATATTAATTAATTAAAAGTAGGTGTGAATGTGAGAGTAAATTCGTGTCTGCACGTTGGTGGAGTTGGGTTCCCACTAACCATATCCCTCAGGCAGATCCGGGGGCGTGTGCAGGTGGGTTCTGCTCATGTAGTTGCGGTGCCTTTGCGAGCGGACCCGTCTCTCCTGGGCCCGGTGATCACCGTCGCTGGGTGGCAGCACTGTGGTGGGCGTGGCCCCGTTCGTACTGACAGGCGTGTTCTCATCCACGATGCAGCTGAGTGGCCGGCCAGGGCTGGAGTACTCTGACGCAGGCCTGAGAGCAGCAAGAGGGAGCAATCGCAGAAAAGATCGAGATGAAAAAAGTGGCTAGGTGATGATAAATCAGTCTGAGAAAATTAAGACAGAACGACAGAAAGTATGTGAGGATTTAAAGGAGGAAGATGTTTTCCCCAACACACATACAGCAGCAAATCAATTGGCAAGATTTATAAAGTCTTAACGCATTAAACTAGGAAATCCATGCAAGGCAGCACAGAGACAACCGTCTTTCGAACACTGAGAGAGACTGCCTGAGGTGAAGAATGGTAAGAACTGAGCAATGAATAGAGAAGAGGCTGATAAGGACAGTGAAAGGAACAAGCAGAAAGGACGGGGGCAGAAGAGATGCCTCTGTTTCCACTCGTCAGCTCCTCCACATCGTGAAACACAACTGACTGGACCATTGTGTCGCACTGAGGTCAGAGAGGAGGTCCTCCGTCGGTCCTGTTGCTGTTTGAGTTAAAAGACGTCTGGGTTTGAGTTTCTGTGGGCCACAGAATGTACTCACCTGGTAGGCCTCTCCCACTGCGTGGTGCGTGTGATGTGGTTCAAGTACTGGATTCGTCCAGACGCAGTCCTCCTCTCCTCCCATCTGGCAGCAGAAACGCACACAGACACAGCAGTGAGCGGACATGGTTAAGTAGCCACAGAACCATCGAGTATTCTGGCTGCCGTCTCGCCACATGCAAATATCATATTCCTTACATCTTTACCCCTGAAGTCGGCTTATTTTTTTTGTTTTTTTTTTGTTTAGGATTTGCAACAGCCTATAAAAAAATCCTCCTGAGATGATAAGAGATTTCCCCCAACTCACTCACCCATCTGGAAGATCATTGTCAAACAGCCGACTGCAGTCCACCACAGGGCCTCCCGTGCCTATCCGGTCCCTAGACTGCAGGCTCACTGCAGCAACACATGGTAGACAGATGCACACACTGGGATTACTAGACAGCAGATTACTGTGCACTGTGTGCAGGCAGAGATATTTTATTGTAGCACAAAACTCAGCTATATATCTTTATGAGTAACAGGAATAGGGTTAAATGTTTTATCGGCACCTCTTTTTTTTTTCTTCCTTCTGTAAGGAGAGTCGGATAAAATAGTATTACAGAATTTTATTCTTTTTATTTGACCCAAAGACTACAAATGTAGCTTGAACACAATTTGGGTGATTAGAGCTGAAAGGAATTCACATTTATATTGTCGTAATAACATTTAAGAATATCCTCCAATATATTCTATGCATCATCTTGCAAAAAGACTAAACACGGAAGGTCGTGGCAAGCTCATTGATTAGTACGAGAGCTGCCCCAGTAAACGATAAAGGATGAGGAGGTATCACCTCCCTCGTTAGTAAAACACCTTTAATGATATCACAGTACACAGTGAATGAAGTACAACATGCTGTTAGGTCAGGGGAAAATACTCTAGTTGTAGTTATTTGATATTTCTGCAACTTCCATTTGATTTATGATTGAAAGAGACTATTTTTTGCAAATCATTTGGGCCATCACATCCTCGTCTGAACCCTTGTTTTTGTGTCTTTGTGAACTCACCCACGATCTGGCCTCTGACTGTGTCACTGTCGTTGGGACTCAGCTTGTTCAAGTCTAGTCTCTGGTCTGTTCGGGAGATGACAGAAAAAGGAAGAGAGCAAGGAAAAGAAAAAAAAAGAAGAAAAACAGGAAAGGAGAATGAAGATGAAAGAAAGAGAAGCGGGGGAGAAAATAAAGAGAAAAGAAGATTCATTAGTTTCTGAGAAATGTACGTAAACTAGCATGTGCTGTATTTCTTCCTCGATGGATAAGTCCCATTGCTGTGTATCATTTACATCCCTGAGAGTCCATTCCTCTCTCCCTCATTATCTGTCTCTCATTCTTCTGCCTGCAGACCACAGCTTGGCTTTGCCCTGGAACAGATGGTCTGGTCTGTGGAACAGCCACGGGCTGTAAAAATCTCACTGAGCATCGGTACAGAGCGGGCTTCAGTTCAAATGCAGAGGTCAAACATTTGACAAATTTCAGTACAAAGCCCGCACTATTCCACTCAGTCTTAGCATGGACATGAACTACTGCCAAAGTCTGGAAACTCTTTGTCTGAACTTCTTAAAGTCTGTGGAATTTGAGAGTGAGGGAGAAAGAGAGAGATCAGGCGGAAAGAAAGGAAGAAAGAAAAAAAAACTGACGAAAAAAAAATATATATCCAAGTTGCCTGCAGACATGAGAAATGCCACTATCTGCTCTCTGTTGTCTGGGTGTCATGCAGATCAGCTCAGGATGTCTGTCTAGACTAAACAGGGACCAAAACAGGCAACGGTCAAACCGTTACAAGGCTGGCCAGAGGTCAGCAGCCACAGAGAAAACAGAGAGCGCACACAGTAAAAACAAAGTTCGCAGAGAAGCGCACTCGTACATTGAAAGTGTAAACATCTATATACTCGCTCGGTCGTATACACAAAGAGAAGAAAACACAGAAACTCAGCAATTACACATAAACATTGCAGTCAACCTAAGACACTAAAATTATACACAAATGTTAATTGTCAACCCCGGTTCCCTCTCCAAGACATGCAGCGAAGACAAAACTGCAACTGCTGGTAAATACACACACACAAAAAAACAAAAGAATGAGAAATACACAGAGGGGGAGAGACCACAACAGAGAGAGCACAACAAATCTGCACTCACACTTAAATAGCTGTACAATTATGCATGTCTGCGTGAAATGACCGGCTGTCTAGATCGGCAGACGGAGATAGAGGGAGGTTAGTCACAATGGCATTTTGTGTTCGTGTGCGCACACACACTGCCAGTCTATGGAGGAGACCGAAACTGAGGGGTGAGGAGGAGGCCAGGAGAGGAAATGCATAGGCAAACCACTCACAGCTGTGGCACAAGATTCAGGTTTCCTGTGTCGCTCCGGGAGAACAACAGTGTCAGGGGCTTCTAGGAAAAGCGGCGGGATTCTTTCCCGTTGCTGCCCACGAGGCCACGTTCCGCAGCGAGCGGGTAACGGCTCACCGCGCAGGGAGATCACTTTGGACCGCTCTGCTAAAGCGACAACTGTCTGGCATTGCTTTTTTTTACTAAGAGTTATTTCCTAAAGTCTCAATGTCATTTATCCAGTTAGCTTCTGACATGAGACGTTTTTACTGTAATTACAGGGTGATGGTGATTGGCCCTTCCTGTTCTGGTAGAGGCAGAGTGTTGACCCCTCTCACACCCTGGTCTGGCCTCTGTCAGTCCCAGTGAGGCAGACAGGACATTAAAAGGAGCGACTCCGTGTTCCATCACTGAGCTCTGACAGTCGCACTGTGTTATTAACCTCTGCTTCTTATCACACCACAGGTAAAAGTCTGCCTTGATGGATGCAGCTACATTTTTACATCAGGGCTGCGGCATGTCACATTGCTCCGTACCCAAAATTTGAAAGTGAAGTATCCTCCCCAGTGAACGAATTCACACAAACAGCTCACAAAGAAAAACATAAATGTCGAGAACAGTTTGGCAACAATATCTGTGCTGTGGATGTGCTGCAATTTATTAAATCAAATACTGCATTGCAGCCGCCTGCATTCTGCTCTGTGCAATAAAACAATAAAAGTGCACAAACAAATTTGTGTCAACATTTATTTATCGCATTATTCGCTCTTATAAAATGGCACAATGGAGTCATGTTTTCATGAGTGGGTCCTTATTTGAGGATGCACGTCGAACAGGAGGCAATAAAATCAATGAGCCACATGGACTGTGATTGTAGGATGCAACAGTAAAGTCACTTACAGCCTGTATCTTTAAGGCGGTTGATGGCGTTGGACAGAAGGCGGACACAGCCCAGGAACCCAGCCCCTTGCTTCTTGTGAATCTTCTTGTGATTCCACACACTGATCGTGATGGAGTCTGATTTTCCAATGTATCTGAGGGGAACAAATAAAATCAAGACGTGATTAATATTCAGTGACGTGAATGGACACCAAGAGAATCACAGACAGTTTTAATAAACGGCATCTGAATTACAGTTTTGGTGATATAATCTCTTCTGCTGGTGTTGTGAACATGTAACACGGTTGGCAAGAGTCTCAGTCAGGATGTCCCCAACAATGCAGGAAGACAGATCCAAGACAAGAGGCTGCAGCTAAGTCGCCCATCAAGGACACATTATGAGACACAGTGGGAAATAGAGGGGGG